ACTCATAGTGTCCCTACTCTGAGACTCTGGTCTAAGTTAATTATTTTTTCCTTTGTTTATTTCTATCTGAAAAACGAGACTTGGTTAGGAAGCCTCTGTACATTGTAAGTTCCTGCATTTTCATTGGGATCTTTTTAGGATATTACCTGGTACTGACATACACACCTAACAGTTGACAAAATGCAGATCCTATTTGCTACTACAAATCAACACACTTACGGATCATACCCCTGGATTACTGGTCTCAACCTCCTCCCAGAGTCTCCACACAACATATTTACTCCATCTCTTCATAGCTCAGATGTGAGATTTGTGGGATAAAACTGGGAATAATCGGGAGAAAATGGATGAAGTTGGCTTCTCCCCATGGATCAGATAATCCATGTTAATTCACCTGTCTCCTATTGGGGATTTTACTTTAAGTTCTTCTAAACTCTTAGCTATGTCCTCTATTCTGGTAACAAATTAGGTTTGACTAAAAGATGTACAGAGACTTATAAAGATGGCCACATTCATGTTTCTTAGTGCTCTTAGAGCCTGAAAATGACCACATGTGGTATTCTTAATACTCCTGGAAATCCCATGATGAAGCAGACCTGAAGATATTACAGCCATTTTGAATGCTATTGCAGTCCCCTAGGTTCATACTTATCCAACAGAGTCATTTGTACACAAAATTCATTTGTGCAAATACTCCCATTAAACCGGTATTCATTAGTAGTAACCCTGCTCCTAACAATGTTATTGATATAACACACATTCTGTTGGAAAGAAAGGGAAGGTAAAAGGAAAAGAGAGCAGAAGAAAGGCAAGAAGGAAGGAAGGCAAGGAAGGAAAGAAGGAAAGAAGGAAAAAAAGGCAGGAAGGGAGGGAAGAAAAAAGGTCCTAATTTCCCGATCTATGAACTCTCAGTTCAGCTAAGACATCGCATGATGAAAAGTGAATCATAAATTTTTAGATGAGAAGCCACTTTTAATGTAACGATTATACCAGTAAATAAGGAAACCAAGAGAGTCTTCACCTGAATAGTCAAGGGTCTGGCAACTGAAGGCCTTTGCCATTCAAAACATTTATTTTCAATCTGAAAAAAACTGAATCAATAAAAACTATCCCAAGCATATGAGACAGTATTTTTCAAAAATTATTTAAACTCTATCAGCTCTCCTAGAAGACAGATCCTGGTCTGGCTAAAAACTCCTGCATCAAATTTACCCATCCATTGGATAATTACTTGATGTCTAATATGTACAAATGACACAATTCTCAGATATCTAATATGAAGTTGACTCAGTACAGATAGTTCAGATTTCAAGTAACTGGAGGAATTGTAGTTCCTATAAGCAAGAACACTGGAAATATCCCAGTCCTCAAACCAAAAACTCTTTAGCTGTGATTAAAAAGGGGTCTCCATTTTTCCAGAAGAAAGAGTGAAGGGGTCCCTTTTAGTTAAAAGCTATCACCCACACTAACATTCTTTTCCTGTCTCTTTATTCGTGATCAAACAGCAGCAGTATATTGCTTGGAGATCTTTCAATATCTCATACCACTTAAAACATTTATGAAAGTTTTAGGGTTTGTTTTCATTTCCAGATACAGAACCCCCTTGAAAATCAGGGAAGGGAGAGGGAAACATTTTTCCCCACCTCCTATCCTCAATATTTATAACAACTCTAGACAAAAAGGACACTTACTGGAGGGAAGGGTGTCCAAAGTGAGCCTTCAATCTTTAGCAGAAAAGCTGCAGAGTGTGAAGGCAGCTTGGCCTCCTCCTTGAGCTCTTGCTGCATTCCTCACAGTGGGAAGCTTACAAATGCTAGCGCCCTGTTAGCTATCAGATGTGGGAGAACTTGTAGTGAAAAGAGCCTGAGATCTTGTTTTCCTATAAGTCTAGTATAAACCAGCACATGGTTCAGATGCTGAAATTACTAATGCTTTATTAAACAGATGATATTAATAGACACTCAGAGTTCAGGTCCTGGAACAAAATGGTCTTATGGTTCTGAGAGCTGCTCAGGTTGTGTTTAGATGCTGGGTTTGATTTGAGAATCTACATTTGCAGAGGACCCTAGCAAGATTGAGACTATGCATGAAAAAATGATTTTAAGACAGGAAGAGATCTGAGAAGAGTTTTACTATAATCTGCCAGAGGAATCGTAATAGGATTTATTGTGTTCAATAACATACGAGTAAGTTCCTTTCTGATTCTAGGATTTGGCCATTTCCCTTATGGATTAATACAAACAAACTCCTGAGCGTCTCTTGTGCTCATTTTAACCACCTGCTGGTAACATAAGTTTCCTATAAATGGTTTAATGGCTCCTGGGTGTTTATGGGAAAAAAGAGTATAACAATGGAGATCCTGCTTGCTATTCTAATGTTTTCCAAAGGAAGGGAACCCACACTGCTCTCTATAGTTCCTCTCCAATGCACCTGTAGTGAGAAAAGAGGGCAATGCCTTGCTGGGTGCTTGGAACCCTCTCTTGCTGAAACACGAGATGCTTTGTAAAGAAAAGACCAAGCATATGTTCTTTGCGGGGACCCTGTGTGGTGTTGTTTTCATGTTGGTCTCTTTTGCTTAACTATACATAACCAGAAAGAAAATGTGGGTTACCAGGAAGAGAAAAGAAGCAATGGCTAAAATACCAAAATTGGCATGTGTTCTTTTATAATATATATATATTTTTAAATAAAATGTTTATTTTAAAAAGAGATGTAAACTTTTTTATTGACTATATAACATACCAAGCACTGTGCCATGCCCTTGAAATGTTTCATTTCATTTTATCCTCGAAATGGTGC